AAAAGTCTCTTCTTCGATCATTTTATAATATATAAATTTATATTATAATTTATATTATAATTTATAATATATAAATTCTATTCTAATTCTTTAAAAGAAAACAAATTCATGTTTTGAATACATAATAATGAGTCTTTTTAAAATTTGTAATATATAAGTATATTTTAAGATTATTATCAAGAAAATATTCTTTGTTAAAGATAACCGTTACTTAAAAAAAAGGTAAATTAAGTAATCACTTTTCTTAGCAATAATATTTTTCTGTGTGTACGAGAATCTATCAATTAGAATCAATTCTTCATTTCATGGAAAGGAAGAATTCTGATTGGTTAAGTCTCTTATACATTATTTTAATTTAATTTTTAATTCAATTGAATTTATTGTGTATTCAAAGAATTATATAATATTTATAAATTAAAAGTTTGTGCTACAATCTTAAACGTTAAAGGCCAATTAAGTATACATTCATGGATTAAAATTAATTCTGAATTTAATATTTCATGACCCATTTGCATCCACAACGCACAAAAAATCTTTCTTCAAGAATTAATCATAAACAAAAAAAAATCATCATAAATAATATTAATTTTCAAAATAAATCACAATATAAAATCAATTGTAACAAATTATAATTTATAATATATGTAAGAAATTATAAATTACAATATATAATATTATAATTGTAAATAAATATGACTATTAATGACTATTAAACAATAGTCGCGTAAAAAGGAAAACAAAATTTCTTAAAAAAAGAATCTGTGCGTCGGAAGACAGAAATTTATAGGCAGTTTTCAGGATTATTGTCGCGATCTAGGCGATTTGAAAACAAAAGCGATAAACTAAAACAACGAGAATCTACATGTATATCATGACTGCGAATTCGACGGCGAGGATTGCAACTCAACGGTATCGCGTCGTTTTCCGAAACACCCTGTAAACTCACCCGCAGAGGCAGCTCTTCAGGTACTTGGAGCAATTGGCGATGCGCCGTCGCCTCGACGTAAGCTGCCTGATGCTGTCCTCGGACGGTTGCAGCAGATAGTCAGTCTCATCGTCGTCCATTTCAAAGTCCCGCTCGTCGGAGCTCAGCCGCAACGGCATCTCCTCCAGCCTCATGGCGGAGGCGTCGAGACGGCGCGCTCTTTCGTTCCCCGTTTTTGTTTTTGTACTTTCTTTTCCCTTTTATACCTCTTTCTATTTTTCGCGCGTCACGCGACCGTCCCGTCCCGGCTCTCCCGTCGACTCTCTCACCCTCGCGGCGACGGCGGGAGACGCGTGACGCGATTGACTGATGACGCGCAGCGGGTTAATCGCCGTCGTCTCGCGCGACCGATCGCTGCGGCACGACGTCCGCGGCGCATATCTTATCGCGGACGATCCGATCAGCTGATCTCGCAATCTACTCGGGAAAGTCGTCCAGCGTCTCAGTGCTCCGGACTGATGCGACGAATATCCGAAGCGACGACGACGACGACGACGACGACGACGACACGACGATGGCGCGACGAGACGTCTTGTTTACGTACACACACACACGCGCGCACGCACGCACGCACGGACGACGCCGGACTGCGTGTACATCATGGCGGTTCCGACTCCCGCGAAACGCATAGACGAATCATGCGGCAAGTTTGTAGCCGTCGGTCTTTCTCGAAACGGTCGACGCGCTTTTGCGCGTGTAACCGATAAGAATAGACCAGTGTGTGCTCTAGCATTATCACGTTTACGCGATAGTGTGTGGTCCTTCGAGTATACGGCATTGTACACCGCACGCCGCCATCTTGCCCGACTAGTCACGTGCTCGCGTCGTCTGCTCGGTTCGCTCCGATTACTCCGAACGTCTTCGAACTGACTTCGACCTTTCTCTGCTCTGATTTGAACAAATTGCGCGACTTATCAAACCGCGTGATTGTAGAGCGTTTTTAATTTAATGTTCTTTTCTTAGCAACATATTTATCGGCTGATCTTTGATTCCAATTGTAATAATAATAATAATTTAACAGAGTCAATCATTTAATCTATTTATCTCTCCCGTTTATCTATAATGGATAATATTTATATAAAATAAGTATACAGTTTTTTTTTTTAGCAAGATATCCTTCGATTATTCTTTGATTAATTTTAGATAGATTATGTTTGTAATAATAAAAATAATTATTATATATATTAATCTGAAGAGGGGGGACGGACGACATGTTTGACTAGAATTTTTAATATTATTTTTAATTGTATTCATACCGTACTGAAGAAGACTCTGAGTTGAAACGTAATTATATTATTAATTAATTAATTAATTAAATTGTAATCTCTTAATGTCTTGATTTTCTCGTTTTGGTCGTTATTAAGAATTTTGATTGCTTTGCAAATTGTCGAGCGTTATTACATTGTTTATAATAATAATTTAGCAGTAGCGTTCAATAATTTATTTTGCTTTATCTCTCCTGTCTATTTATACATATTTATAATGTTATTTGTCATACGAGTACACTGTACTTTGTTAATCAAGCTTAACCTGATATTTTGCGGCTAACGATTTGATCGCACTGTCAAAAGATTCATCTGATGACCTTCCCTTCAGTTGCAATCGTTGGAAAAGCCACTCGCACGTAGATTTCTCATCTCTCGTCATGAAGCATACCGTCAAATCGAACCGATTACACGTGCTCAGTTTGCCAAAAAGTTCTATAACTGGCGCTATATCATCCACTTTTGACAAATGCTGCAGACATGCGTTTGCAAAGTCACCGAGAAAAGATGCCGGGATTTCCACCCGAAAGACATGATGCTGCAGATCATTCCTGCAATAAGAATACGCCACTGACGTATGGCGACACCTTTATGTGCCTTATGATTCTCACCTTAGGTTCCACACATAGATAAACTTTTCGGAATGGTCTGTAATTGTTTTCCAAGATTGTAAGAAGTCTTTGCACGTTTTCCGAGATTTTATCACGGTACTCTCGTTGCTGCCTTTATCTAATGTCAATTTTCTCAAGGTTTCCGATACAGTTGAGTCATGACACTTAACAGGTTTAATAAATGAATTCCATTGCACGCCACTTTTAGATTTCATGTCATTGCGATCCAGAGGTTTCAAGTGAGCACCATTCCCCTGCCGTTATAATTATGTAATTAATTCAAAATTTACTGAAGAATATTTTAAAAATTATAATTCATTAACTTAAGTTATTTTATATACTAATACAATTTAATTCATTTAATTATTAATCTAATTTATTTTAAATAATAATTAATTATATTAATTTGATTACAATATTGAAAAATTCTCGAACTAAATTTTGAACATAAATTAAATCACGACCATATACTCAAAATTTCTTATATGATGACAAATAACCAAAATTACAGTCACCATCTGTCTGAAGTGCTCATATGTCGGCACTGCTTGTTCAATCGCGCGAATTTTAGCGTCGTTTTGTAATTTATATAACTCATCAGCTGCGAGAGCTGCATGAAGTTCCTCTTCTAAGCTCTTATAGTCTATCGGCGCTTTTAATGCACTCATAGTTTTCCGCTCGAGTTCTACGACAGTCTGACATGATAACATAGGATAACACGACGGTTTGTCGTTATGGCAACTTCAGTATTAGCTCGATCTATTGATCAAAATGTTACTTGCTCTACTCCACAATCATTTTATTTCTTCATAATTCGTACAAAATTATGTTATTTTGTAATTAAAAATTATAAATAAATAAATTACAATTTAAAAAAAAAAATATAAACAGAAATAAGCAAAGATGCTTATTACTTCAATTCTTGGTAATAATAGCTTCCGTTTCAGATGTAATCTTTTTCTTTGACATTCTATCTTGTCTTTTCTTCAGCAATCTATCATGGGTTCTCTTCATCTCGAGTATCTCCTTCATCTCCTCCTTGTCCTCCTCCTAAAATCGATACCATCGACATAGAAAAATTATTTGTTCCCACCCGCGGGTTTACGAATACTCACAGTTTGATTTAATCGAAGAACCAACGCTTTACGACCGTCGGACATGGGTTGAGAATAGTCTGTCAACTTTTTCAGTCTTTCAGCAGG